TAGGGAGAGGCCTGCGTTTGCTCCTTCGTGGGGGCTCAACCGGGGGCACAATGGGCTCACCATCACGGAATGATGGGCGTGTCGGAGCATGAATGAGAGGATAGGCCACGACATCCCTCCTTTGCTCTCGAGTACAAATCAAAAGGTTGTTCATAAGCCTTCGCAGCCAAGAAGTTTTCGGCTCATCCATGCTTGGAGCACTATCGAGGGTGTGTTTGGCGTGTTCCAAACCATCAACCTAAGCAATCCACATAATAAAACAAAATTAATTAAACCTCAAAACAAAATAATTAGAGTCACGCGGGAGATTAGGATGACTTACCAACAAACCCATCACAACACCTTGCTTTGACACCCATCTATTGGTGAACTTCCGATACCACTGCATGTACCCATTGTGGTAGCCCATCGGTCTCGCCTCCGGCATCCCTTGGACCACCCATGTCCTTCTATTCTCCCAGATGTTGATGTAGTACTGATGCTTTAGGATCCAATTCTTTGAAGCGTGTCGGAGGTTGATGGCATGTAGCTCCCTGAAACCCTGAGGCGGGGTTTGTGGAATTGGTTACTCCATTCGATATTGCCTCAAGGATCGATCGGGTAGGTGCCACTCCACGATGTGCCAACAGATCAATGGCACCTTGCACAACCATGTCTCGTGATCCAGAGGGTTTCTAAGATGATGCAGTTCGACCACTTCACGTGGATATGGATCCCAAGTAACCTATATTCATTCAAATAATGCAATTAGCGACCATTTACCTTGAAAAATTGAAACTTGTTAAAATATGATAAAGCATTATTACCTGATTCCACCAAGGCTTATCTAACTCAGAACAATAAAACAGTAACGAATGCTCAGGTTGATGGTCATTCATATTTGCTCCTATCCACCTTGTAAGTAAAAGCATGGAATAAATTGAAATTAGGCTAAGTACGGATTAAATTCAATTTAAATCTAGCTAAGCATGGTATAAATTTAAATTAGGCTAAATACGGATTAAATTCAATTTAAATCTAGCTAAGCATGGTATAATTTTAAATTAGACTAAGTACGTAATAAATTCAATTGAAATCTAGCTAATCATGGAATAATTTTAAATTAAGCTAAGTACGGAATAAACTTACTTGACACCGTAAGTGGGATTTTGCAGAAAGTTTAGCTCATCATCGGCTCTCCGGTATGGACGTGGGTCTAGAGGTGCGAACATTGGAAGATGCTCCCATACCCATAGCTGTAGGATAAACATCGCAGCACCAGCTTGTTTTGCTACCACCTTCAAGCAAGTGCACAGCTCCCGGTATATTGATAGACCGATAATTACACGTATTTTCACCCCTATTCTTGAGCCGTTTGAAAGGTTAATTCTCGGGTTTTAAGCAGATTTCACGCAAGGTTGTGTGTTTATGTCACATTTCAGGACCCGGCGTTGGAATCAAGGCGAAGGAACGAGATTCGGGTCGAAAGGAGCAAACAAGGATTGAAGTGGGCTGGAGGAAGAAAATACCCGGCCATGACCGAAAATACCCGGCCTGGTATATTTCTGAAGAGGCCGGGGATTTCCCTTTTTGACCTCTGAGAAACAGAAGGGGGCCCGGGCAAATGCCTTAAATCCCCGGTCGGGGATTATGAGGACAGACCGGGGATTTTGCCCTTAAATGAAACGGTGAGTTTTGCAAATACCCGGTCGAAACCCAAAATACCCGACCGGGTATCGCGACCAGGCAGCTGATAAAAGGAAGAAGAAGGCCAACATTGAAGGGATTCGAGTTTTAGAGAGAGAGATCAGTTCCTAGAGAGAGAAAGTGACGAGCAAGAGTTCCCAAGTGCCCTAGATTGATCTTCAACACCATTGGAGGCCAGTTTGAGCTTGGAGAAGTGCCGATCAACGTCCAGGAGCCGGAATCCGTCCTTCGCAGTATGAATTCCGTGTCTAATTCTGCTTTTGCTTTCTTCTCCATGGAGTAGTTCTCCCATTCATCTGGGTATGGAGAACCCTAGATTTGTATGTTAGGCTTTGATTGTATGAACCCAAGTACTGATTCTGTGATTGATTATATTCGATTGAGGTTTTAATGATTGAATGACTTGAATCCTGATCAAATTCCTGTTGTTTCTGCTTTAACCTAGAATGAGAATATATGCCTAGGTTAATAGAGTATCCTTGATTGAAGGTAGGGAGTTGGTGACTTTAGTCGAGGAACCAACTCACTATTCTGTACCGGATTTACTCCGGTAGTGGAGGTTTTGTTTGTTAAGGCCTCAATCTGTTTACTCCGGTGGAGGTTAGTCGCCCGCTAGAGATTCAGATTGAGAGGGTCTGAAGACCTTTAGTCGAGACTTCAGGCTGTTTAAGAACCTTCCGCAGTATAACTATCATAGAAACTGAACTTGGTAATTACAATCCGGCTTAACTGCAGTCTAGGGGGAACCATATCCGGGTGACCTCTCTTAACTTGAATACAACCAGTTTACTTGCTTTGTTAGTTTGTTAGTTAGACTTGCATTCCAGTTTCATTGCTAGATAACAAGAATTCACTGAGTAGTCATCAGATCTAGGACCCGGGTTGACATATAAACCTAAACCCGCTATACTACGCTTTAGGGAGTGGTTGCACTTGGCCAATTCCTAGGGTGACAGTAGAGTCGAGTCATATATGCCAGCTAACACGGCTGATCCCCTACTCTTTTCCCCGATTGTGTCCCAGTCACCAGTGAGCAATGGCAACCATATGCCTTGAATCCACCGGTTTGACTTGTCGGGGAACAGAAATCCACCCACCAGACCAATGAGGTAGATGCGTGCATAGCGCTCCACTTGATCTTCCAGAGTCTCGTCATTGATTTGCACCTCATTCTGGATGTGAGCTACCAGCCACAGGACCGACACTTGTCCCGCATTCAACGGTGCATGCCCACGTCCTTGAATTGGTGTGGTGGTCGGCATGTCAAATCCCAACTCAGCAAGAATGAGCGGCCCTCAACCTCCTTCGGGTTTGGTAGTGGGCCAAATGATGGCATCTCCAGAAATCGGCAGCCCGGTGAGGATCGCCACGTCTTTGAGGGTGATCGTCATTTCCCCCTCCGGAAGGTGGAACGTATGGGTTTCGGGCACCATCGCTCCTCCATTGCCGTAAGCAGATCATTGTCGATTTCGATCAGCATGAAATGGCGCAACATACCCAACCCGACCCTCTCTATATAGGGCGCCAACCGTGGATGCCAAGGGGGCAAGTTTGTGGTCCCTTTATGAACGATGGGAATAAGTGATTCCTTCAAAAAAATAAGAAAAACATCAATTTGTTAGTTTAAATAAAACAAAATAAAACCTTAGAAAATAATAAAATAAAGCAAATAAATCATCAAATTACCGGATTGTTATCCCAAATAGCACGGGAGCGATGAGCTTCTTGATCGGTTAAGAGTCCCATATCTCTTGGCCCATAATGGATATACAATCGAGGATCGTATATCTCGGCACCCATCTATAAAAAAAGTAATGAAATCAGAGATTGTTTTGATAAAAAAATCACAAAATCAAATTGTTACGATTAAAAATAAGAACACAAAAAAAAACTACACGAAGAGCCTCTTCGTCCATTTTTTGGCAGAAGCCGGACAGAGGTTCGACGGGTTCTGGTTTGTAAGGGACGGGGGCTTTAGGGTCAAACTCTAGTAATTCTTTCTGATGTGGAAGATCGGATTTATCCGCAACCACAGAGCATACTTAGAACAAGACTAGAGCGGATAAATTGAGTGAGAAAGAAGAATAATTGTTGTGGTGTGATTTGAAAGTGGGGGGGAGGGGGGGGGGGGGGTCTGTTTATAGTTGGGGGAAGGGGGAAGGGATCTGGCGAATTTAATTTCTGGGATACTTCACCGCGTTTGTGGAACGCGGTGAATACACCGTGGAAGTCAAAGGCGGTGATGGGGGCGACGTGGACCAGCTGTGAGGTGTCGGATCTGGGAAGAAAACCACGATCCACGCCTCACCGCATCTGACGGCCACGGTGAAAGGAAAAACTACGCGGATCGCTGACGCAAACAAGCACGGGGTATTCACCGCGTTTGTCTACGTCAGCGATCTGCGTCGCTTGATCGTGGCCAACTACAGCGGGTTAAACTTCACTGCTTTTAATTAAAACGGTGAAGTATTCACCGTTTTAGAGAAAGACGGTGAATACTTCACCGTTTTAATTTAAAACGGTGAAATATCCACCGTTTTTGACAAACGCGGTGATAGTCTTCACTGCGTTTGTCAAAAACGGTGAATGCCAAACATGTGTAGTTTTGGAAATATGTATTTTGGAAATTTTATTTAAGAACTAGTGTACTCTGGAATTTTTTCCCATTGTTCTTCGGTCTAACAATTCTTTCCCAAGCAACATTGGCCATACATGTGTTACCTCCACGCCAAAGGATATCTGAACACACCTTCTATATATGCTTCAGTACCTCTTTTTGGAAAGACAAAAACTTAGAGCCATAAGTGTATCACTTCCATTAAGAAAAAGAAAACCAGTTGAAGACGTCCACGTACGTTAGGGAACTTTTTAGCTTGCCAAAAGTTGATATTTTTTGTCAATTTGTCAATTAAAATGACATATTCCCTATCATACAATCTCCCATATACTAAGGTCATGCATAAGTAAACGAAAAGATGGATACACTTTCTAAAAGGGTTAAAGACACATTTGGTCACTGAGATGACTAAATTGGGACTTGTTTAGTCACTAGAAAAAGTTAATATCAAATTTGGTCACTATAATTACTAAAACAGGATACATTTAGTCATTCGTCCTTAGTTGCCGTCCAACTCCGTTAAAAGAGTCTGTCATGTGCTGACGTGGCTAACGTAAGCGCCTAGTCAGCGTCGTTTTGGGCCGGAAATGGTCAAACCCGACCCGCCACGTAACAAATCCAACCCAATCCATTAACCCAACCAGACCCAGAAATAAACCCTAACCCACCTAACCAGACCAGAGCCCACTTAAAAAAAATGTCAGAGCGAGAGATATCCCAAGCTCTCCACTCCCTCCTTCACGACTATTCCACTTCCCAGTACCAATCCTCCGTCGCCGGCCCTCTCACCTCCATGAACGTCGTCGTCCACCACCTCCAGTCCAAACTCGGCGTCGACCTCTCCCCCAAGCTCGACTTCATCCGATCCCAGCTCCAGCAATTCTTTTTCCAGCAACCTCATCCACCGCTGCTGCACCAACAGCAGCAGCAACCTTTTCCTCCTTCGCTGCCGTCTTACAAAGATAGTTATGCCCCTCACCAACCCTCTCCCAATTTCCTCCTCTCTTGCAGGTACCCTCCGACGCACCAAATCCCCAATTTCTTGCTCTCTTCCGGCTACCCACCTTCGCCTCAGCAGCAGCAGCACAAACCCTTTCCTCCGCCCTCTTACAATGACCGTTTTGCCCCCGACCAAACCCCCAACTTCTTCCTATCTTCTGGCTTCCCTCCATCTCACTCCCCCGACTCCGTCCATTTGGAATCCCTTGCACCTGCTGGTGCTCCCCTCAAGTCTCCTAAGGAGAATAATAAGGGTAAGAGGAAAGACGAGGCGGGTGGTTTGAACAATCTCTCCCTGCTCTCTGCACTCTTATTTGTTTGATCAAAAATGGCGAAGGGAAGATCTCTCGAGGAAGGAGAAGGGTTTTCGGGTATGCAAATGGAAACTGCTCAGTTTTGTTTTTTTAAGTGGGCTCTAGTCTGGTTAGGTGGGTTAGGGTTTATTTCTGGGTCGGGTTGAGTTAATGGATTGGGTTGGTTTTATTACGTGGCGGGTTTAGTGATGTGACGGGTCGGGTTTGACCATTTCCGGCCAAAAACGGCGCTGACTAGGCGCTCACGTTAGCCACGTCATCACATGGCAGACTCTTTTAACGGAGTTGGACGGCAACTAACGACGAATGACTAAATGTATCCTGTTTTAGTAATTATAGTGACCAAATTTGAATTTAACTTTTTCTAGTGACTAAACATGTCCCAATTTAGTCATCTCAGTGACCAAATGTGTCTTTAACCCCCTTCCTAAAACAATACTATTATAATGCAACATGCTTCTAGGTAGCCGATTCACCACCAAACTATTCTTCACATTTATTCGGGTTATATTTCATCCTTGGTAAAAGGTAGGCTGATATTCTCTATTTCCATAAAATATCCTATTGTAAAGATAAAAAAGGAACATCAACAAAGCATAGGTGCGAGAGAGATAATCTCTTACATTGAGGGTAGAAAGGAAGAGGGTCGAAGCAGCTGATGAATTGAGCAAGTCATACAAACCCACCATTACAACTCTGACGAGAGGAGGCATGTGGTCTCCTTGTAGGACTCCTTGATGTTACCGAAGGAAACCACACAATCCCCCATTAATGGTGATGATAAAACGAGCAAATATAACACAAACCCCAATCCAGTTGATAAAGCGTTAAGGGAAGTCCATGAGAGAGATAAACCCTATTGCCATATCGAAGTCCTTCATTATGTGGGATTTTTCTAGAAATACCACTATTAAAAAAAAATATTACAAAAATACCACCCAATGCAAAAATATTCTACTTATACCACCTTTTTCTAAGAATCGTCTCCTAGGGAGGCGTTTTCATTGGAAACCGCTCTAGGAAGAAGCGGTTTTAGTTTGGGCAACAAACCGCCCTTCCCAGGAGCGGTTTGAAGGATGCCCTAGGTCAACATGATAGAAACCGCTCCCCCATTGTGCAATCTGTGAAAACCGTTTTATGGAGGAGCGGTTTGAATGTCGACACCAAAACCGCCAAGACGGGGAGCGGTTTTCATGTGTTTTCCCCACTTTCCCGACAGAAACAGTCGGCATGCAGGGGACTGCAGGAGTGGGGAGTGTGTTTTGTGAAAACCGCTTGGGGGGGGCAGTTTTCATCGAATTTTTTGTTATAAAAGGCAGCCCCGGAAAACGCAGCATTGCACCCCTCTTCCTATTCTTCTTTAAGTTTTTGTTTTAGCAATTTGTGTTTTATATTATAGCGATTAACGTTACGTTGTAAGTTTGTTTTGTATTACTTGTTATTGTAAGTTTGCTTTGCGATTAACGATTAACATTGACAAATTTTATGGTATTAATTAAGTTACCGTTTTATTGCAGATGACATTCCAAAAGTTCATGCTTGGGTTACAGTGGAATGGTTATACGTAAGATACCGGAAAGGGAGTATGTTACGTCGATGGCAATTTTTAAAAAGTGAAGGTTGCTACGAGACCGAGCCTTGAAGATCTGCATCGAATTTGTACTGAGGTTACTTGCATAGGTGGCACGAGGAGAGTTGACCATATGGTGTATCGATATCCAAACAGACAATCTGGGGCGTTGTGGTATGAGGAATTCGTCATAACCACTCAGGCGGATGTAGATTCCATGGTTGAATTTTTGACCACCAATAACATTTCCAAAGCAGAGATGTTCGTTTACACCGAGCCGGTCGCAGGCGCTGGAGGTCATTATGGAGAAGGCCAAACATCTGGTATCCACGGTGGAGGAGTTTATATGAAGATCATCCGTACCAAATCGACCATGATCGTCATTCCTACAATGAGTATCAACAAGGAGAAGCCCAAGGATACACTGAAATAGAGAGAACACCCCTCCAATCATGCCGATGAGGTAAACACGTGCATAGATCTCCTTATCCTCCTCATCACTTTCCTCCGTGAGGAGAAAGCCATCTTGCGCAAGGTCTTTCTTCTTCTTGATCTCGTTCGTCAACCAAGTGATGGATACTTGGCGAGTCCTCATTGGTGCCCGTCCATCTTCCTCGTCATCTCCTTCTTCCTTTGCAAGCACGAACAAACCCAAGGTGGTCCATATCAAATACTGCCACCCGTTCATTTCGTCAACATCTGAGGGTGGTGGGTGATCATCCACACACACGACATCGTCGTCAATGGGCAAATCGGTTAGGATGGCGATGTCCTTTAGTGTGATGGTGCACTCGCCTTCGGAGAAGTTGAAGCAATGTGTCTCTGATCGCCATCTCTCAACAAACGTTGTGATGAGCTGGCGGCCGATCTTGATTCCTATGAAATGTCTAATCGAATCCAACCTTGCCCTTTGAAGATAGGGCAAGATGGCGTCGTTTCATGGGAGCACAGCGCTGGAACTCCTAGAGCGGACTATACGGTGCGCCTCCTAGCGAATAAATTAACTTTTGCTATAAGTTTATGATTTATAAATATATATATATATATATATATATATATATATATATATATCTATTTTAACAAACACCATAGTATTAACAAAAGTCAAGGTTTTTCACAATGTATAAATAATTTACTAGAAAAACATATTTAAGTTAACTAAAATAATTAACTAAAATAAATGAATAGCATTTTGAAACATTTAATAGAACTAATTTTGTACACAAAATTATACTCGATTATATTATTTTTTTTAAATAGCATTGGTTGTTTTCAATAATTTAAAGGATACAAGTACACTCGTTAGACTCTTAGAAGAAGTATACATCTTCTTAGAAACACAACCTTTTTGAAAGATAAAGGAGGGATCCGAGGATCTCTTAGAACTCGATTTTCCCAAGAAATGGGAGGACCATGATGATCGCTTAAGACCCCATTTCCTTAGGCATGCATCTCTTTATGAAGAGCCTAAATAAGTGGCACTTTGTATTGCTTTAAATTATTGAAAACAACCAATGCGATTAAAAATTAACAAATTTATTTACAAATCACTAACTTACGTTAACAAAATAAAAAAGATATAGTCATGAGAAATTATAAGTACCTCATGATCGTTCCAAACATCCCTTGAACTATGATTTTCTGGGTCGTATAACACGGTTGGATCAATCGGTCCTTGATCGACATAATATCATTGGTCGTAGATATCAACGTCCAGCCCAACCTACGATAGCATAATAACAATATAAATTAATTAGTGTAGAGATTAAATAAAATCATTATAACAACAACAAAAACAAGAGCAAAATGAGTACGTACCGCTTGATAGTCATCCACAAAGACCCCCTCCTCGATAAAATCGGCCATATTTTCAGGAACCGGACAGAGATTCGACGGGTTTTGAAGGAAAAAACTCGGAAATGTTTTATGATGGCAGCTCGGACTTAGCTACAACCAACAGACTACTATTTCCAAGTTTTTTGGGTGGGGAGGGGAATGTTAGAGAGAACTAATCTTAGAGAGAAGGAGGAGAATGGGTTTTGGTGTGAAAAATGGTGAGGGGGAGGGGGGGTATTTATAGTTTTCGGAACCGTGGGGTGGGGGCGGTTTTGTAATTTTGCTACCCAAAACCGTGTCCTCCACCCACGGTTTTGGTTTCCTTCACCCAAACCGCCGCTAGAGAGGGCGGTTATCAGCCCAACTACACGGACCGCTGAGTTGGCAGACGGCATGCCGTCGGATCGCCTCCTAATCCAACGGTCACTAAGCCCGCCTCTTTCCAAGGTGGTTTTGCTAGGGTTTGATACAAACCGGCCCCTTGGAGCGCGTTTTTCACATAAACCATCTCCCAAGGCGGCGGTTTTTGGGAAATAGTGGTAGAAGTGGAAATTGTTTCCATTAGGTGGTGTTTTGTAAAAAAAATTTAATAGTGGTATTTTTGGATTTTTCCCTCATTATGTCCACTTTGATTGCACATCAAGGTTGATAATTTTGTCCATACCCATGGGTATTTTATTATCTAACTCAATTGGGTTGGGTATTAAATCCAAATAGATTGAGATTGGTAGAGTTTGATGAGTTTGTACACATGCTCGTTTACTTGGATTGGATTGGGTTTTTAACACATGGATTTGAGTTTGTACCATGCCCCAATGTAAATTACAGTTTTGGTACCTAAACTTAATAGATATGCATATTTAGTACCTAAATTTATTTTTTACTTATAAGTCCTCAAAAATATCGATGGAAAACTACACTTTGGAACCTAAATTTTTTTATCTCACATTTTGCCATCCCTAAGGCCTCTCCTCTGGTACATGTCGTATTTTATTGTGCCATTAATATGTTTCTATACTACACCTTTTCCGGGTAAAGATATACTTGTTCTCACTGATTACTGAAGGGAGAATGTCCTCAATTGTTAAGTAAGAATCTTGGAAATGATTTTGTAGATCACAATCACAAAAGAAATGGGCCTGAATTCTCTCAAATTATATGAAGCAGTGATTTAAGGAAAATGAGACTTTGTTGTGGAGTTGAGCTAGCTACACAAGAGGTGTCTAGACCTAAAAAAATCAAGACCTCCAACTAAAACTCTCCTCCTTTGAGGTTTTGGGTGATACAAAAAGAGTTGCAAGAATACAAGTCTCCACTGCCCTTACTTTTTTCACCAAGGATGCCAAAGGAGAGCCAATCGTTAGAGTGAACTAACCCTACTAAACAAGATTGTGAAATCGAGTTGTTCTGCCCAGAAATCAAAGTACTTGAATGATTTGGGTAACGACTGTATAAAAGGCTTATTTGACACCAAAATATAGTGATGATCCTTAGAACTTGCCGGGATCAACCCTACTCTACTGTTGGAAGAAATTGGAGATTATTATGGAAAGTCCAAGCGGTCAAGAGATCTCCAACGTACAGAATCCGAATTTGGCGGCA